GGGTCCAACCCAAGTGGTTATCAACCTGACTCAACAGGAACTTTGGGGGTATGCCCTTCCACATTTGGCCACTAGGGGGCGTGTGCGCAATGCTGTGGTTTTTATCAGCGGCTGTAAGACAGAACCCAGAGGGCTCTCTTCCTGTTGAAAGAAGAGTCTGCTAGAGGGCCTGGAGTTTCCATCTACCAAACAGCGAGGGGAGGGACTTGACTTTGGGGGAACATGGGTATAGAGACAGATAGGTATCTTCAGTATGTGAGTGCCTGAGCTGAAAGGTCCCATTCCATCTATCCTTAGACGTGGGTGGAGAGAGAGAGAGAGAGAGAGAGAGAGTGTGTGTGTGTGTGTGTGTGTGTGTCCAGTTCCCCACTTACTACCTTCGAGTCACTTAAATGTTCTGGGTAACAGTTTCTTCACCTCTAAAAACGAGTGACTTGTGAGCTAGCTGATCTCTGTGGCTCCTTCCAGCTGTATTTCTATACATTGAACACAGGAGGTTTGGGGACGTTGACTGAGTAAAATAGGACAGAGACCCTAACAGACCAACTAGTCCTCAGTGAAGGCATTCCTGATTTATGGCTGGGCTTTGAACTTTGGAAGGCTCCGGACTTTGAGGAGTTCCTCCGTGTCCTCCTCCTCATGTGTTAAGCCTTTTTAGTCTACTCAAGGTTTGAAAATGCATTTCCTGTAACTGTCTGGAGCCAGGGATCGGAGCGAACATTCTTGGCGCCTTTCTGCCTGACACATAAATGACTGATTTCTAGGTAAGGCTGTGCCATCTTTTGGTGCTTGTCTTACATGACAAACTCATTTGTCTCAGGTAGCTGGAAAGTGGTGCTCTCAGAGGCTGTGTTTGAGGACAATGGACTTGAACAGGTGTCAAGGGCTTGCTGCAAACTGACTGCCCAGCCAGATGCTAGGGCTGCGGAGGCAGAGGGGTCCGCAGACGACTGGCCCCCGGGGCGATGTGTGCTGTGTGCTCAGGAGCAGGAACGATGCTTGTGGGGGATGGGGAGGACAGAGAGTCAAAAGCTTTCAGCACGGTCACCTGGTGTCCATGATGAGCCTTATGGATCCACTTTGCCACCATCGTGGGAGATACGGATTTCCTCTCCCTGCCCAGAGACATCAAGTACCTGACTCAAGATCACACAGCTAGTAGGCAGGAGATCCAGGGGTCAAACCGAGGCCTCTCGGGCTCTTGGTCCAGATTTCAACTTCACCACCCATGGCACTGCAGGGTCTTGGGGGATCTGGGATAGGGCTCACCTTTCTTAAACCAAAGGAATAGGACACTTGTGTGGACAGCAATCTGGCAGCAAACATGATACCTCAGAAACACGCTGCCCGCTTTTGTGTATTCTCTGAGGCATGCGGTTGCTGTGGCAATGTCTGAGAGGCTGGCAGGTACTTGTCCACACCAATACGTGGGTGGGGTAGGTGGGAGCTGGGTGGGGATTCTGACAGACAGCCATGGTGGTGGTTGGCTGGAATAACGGGGCAGCTCCTGAGATGACATGGGGATGGCGACACTTGATGAGGCTGGTTTTAGACGTGCCCCTCTATCTCTGGGGCTGGGAGGTGAACCCCTGACATATAAGAGCCGGGAGAAGAGCTTCTTACTACAGCTGAGGGCCTCCACTCCAGGCCAGACGCAAAGTATGCAGATGGGAGAGTGGCCCCAGTGGCCCAGCCTGAGGTGGCTTTGCGGAAGTCTGTTTGGTTCATGGCTGGTCACTTGTACCCAGGGCAGTCCCTGCCCTTGGCATGTGCTCAGGAAATCCTGGTAGGTGCCTGGAGAGACCCCTGGCCTGAAAGTCAGAAGACCGAGTTTGAGTACCATCTGCAACGGCTTGCAAAATAATCGGAACTGTTCCCAACATCAGATTTCCTCCTCATCAGAGGGATCCGAGGGTTAGTGCCCTCAGGAGTGGTCCAGGTGTGGAGGGGCCCCACAGCTAGCAGCTCAGCCAGGTTGGTGGGTGGGGACAATTTCCTGAGCGTTTCACAGAGACATTCGTCTCCTTCCTCCCTGGAGGACCCCATGTGGGTACTCATGGTGCTGGGCACCTGCCCTCTTGGAAGGTTCGGAGAGAAGGAGGGTCCAGAGCAGAAGATTCAGTGCCTCTGCTGTCAGCTTCCTGGTATACAGCCCTCCTCTCCAGCTGCCAGCAAGACTCCTCTGCCAACCTTGCCGATGGAGGAGGGCTGGACTCTCACAGACTGACACCTAGGAGGGAAGAATGGGGAAGGGGGGGAGGCCTGAGGGTCCATGAGTCTAGGACCCCTTACTGACAGACGTGGGACTTAAGCAAAGTATCAAATTGCTGTGAGCCTCGGTTTCCTCATTTGTAAGTGGTGATAAATAGTATGTTCCCTACCGGTTCTTGGGAAAACTGAAAATAGTGAATGAAAGAGCCTGCCCCTTAGTAAGTGCTTAATGAAAACAGCGATTACTCAAAGTGTGGACTGTTAATGGGGTAGTGGGCCTGAATGGAAAGGAGACTGTAAGGCCAAGTGACGAGGGGGCTGCTGAGTGTCCAGCATCTGGTCCCCCTTCTCCTCCCCTGGGGCTCACCAACATCCCAGAACTTCCCTTCTGCCTTCCTCCTTTTAAGTGTGGCCATCAGGGACTCACACCCTAGCATGTAGGTCCTGTGATGCAGGGGCATGAGCCAGAGGTATGTGCATTCCATTCCAATGCTGTAGGAGAAAACATTGCCCCATGAACCTTTCCAACTGCCCTCTAGGGCTGTGGGCATAACCCTGGATTTGGAGATGTGGTCTCCGAAGCTCACACAGGTGAATGAGCCAAGGTCTCACAGAGAGTCAGGGAGGGGCTGGGGCTGCAACCATCTATGTTGCTGTCCCAGAAGCCCCATTCTGGGCCCCGGGTGAGAAACAGAGCCCTGGAGTCCCAGGTCCTTCACTCAGTCTGCCCTGGGGCAATGCACGGTGTCCTGCCGTGAGGATCCCATGGGGTAGTGTTTGCTAAGTGCTCCTGGGAGCTACAGTTGAGGGGAAAGAGAGATTTGGGAGACCAGGAGGAGAGCCATGCAGGAAGAACCCCAACAAAGACCAGCTAAGCACTTACTAGGTGCTGGAGATTGTTTTGGGGATTTCATTATGAGTTGCCTTGTTTAATCTTCATGGCTCTGTTATGAAATAGGTTGTATTCTCATCTCTACTTTACAGATGAGGAGACTGAGGCACACATAGGTCACAGCTAGTGAGCACAGAGCCATAATCGCAAATCCAGGCTGTGGGGTCCCAGAGGCCACATATTTAACCTATCATTTGACTGCCTCTTGAGAGTTCAGACCAAAGAGAGACATGAAGAAGATTCTTACTGGGAACTCTGAAATGACACTTCTGCAGGGAGCCACTGCAGTCTAGGAGTGGAAAAGGGGATGGGGTGCTTGTGCTTGAGGACAGTGGGTACTGGGGGCTGGGACTCTCCTTGATTTCCACTCTCAGCCTCTCTGGCTGTGGAGGCCTTCATGTGCATGGGAGGAAGATTCTGCTCCAGGCAGCTGGCCACAGGAGTGGCATTCCACTGGTCTGTTCCTTCAACAAACATTTCTGGTGCCCCCACACCTGTCCCAAAGGCACCAGGTGTTGGGGACCCTCCCCGCAAAACAAAATTCTTGCTCTGCCCCAAGATGCTCATGGTCTCACGGTAACAGAATTACCAGCTGTGAGCCAGGGCTGACGGGAGCAGGGGAGGGGAGGGGAGTGAGGGGGCATGGTGCCTTGACTGCTTTGCAGAGGAAGTCTTGGAAAAGCTGTGCAGGGAAGGCTACACTGCGGCCAGCACTTGGGATGGGGTTTGGAGGGGGAAAGGCGGCACAGACTCAGCAGTCTTTGGCCGGCTGGGGGACATTTTACTCCACATGCTGAGGAAACCTGAAAACGTCCTGAGGGAGGGCTTGTTGGGGAAGGGGACGGAAAGGGACGGGGGACATCAGCACCCACGTGCGCCAGGGGACTCTCCCCACGAGGGGACAGGCTCCTGCAAGGCTCCCTCTTCCTCCTCCAGGCACAGCCGGTTTATGGGAGATCTGAAAGACAAGCCGGTGGCAAGTCGGGATGACAAAGACGCCCTGAAGGGCACGCGTTTTTATGTAATGGACCTCAGCACCTAGGGTCCCGCGTTAGGCGCCGGCGAAGGACGGCGCGCCCGCGTTATCTCCTCGCAAGGAGGAGGGCACAGCAAAGCGAAATAAGTTAGGCAGGTCCCGAGAGCCTTAAAGAGCAGGGCGGCTGGGGAGCCTCTCCCCAGAGCCCGCTGGGGCAAGCCCGGGCTCCCCCCGCTGACCGCTCTCCCGGCCGGGCCCCTGACTCCCCTCCCGGGAGCGCCCGCCGGGTGACCTTGGGCGAGCCGCACGACCTCTCCGGGCCTCAGTTTCCCGGCCTTCGCAACCGGCAGCGCCGTGACCGCACGGCGGGATTCCCCCGCGCCCCCGGGGCCGCAGCAGAGCGCGCGGCGGGCGGGACGCGCCGGGACCCCGTTCCCCGCGGACAAGCGCGCCGCGAGGGGCGGCCCCCCGAGGCGGCGGGCGGGGCGGGGCGCGCGGGGCGGGGCGGGGCGCGCGGGGCGGGCGGGGCGGGGCGGGGGGCGGGGCGCGCGGGAGCGGCGCGCAGGCGCAGGCGCAGGCGCGGCGGGCGGGGCGGCGGGCGGGGCGGCGGGCCGGGCGCTCGGCGCGGCCGCTCGGAGAGCGCGGGGCGGCGCGCGGCGTGCGGGTGGCGGCTGAGCTGGGCGCCGGCGCCGGCTGGCGGGGCTCACCCGGGACTACCTCAGGCTCGCCGAGCTCGCCGCCGGCCCGGCCCGAGGGCCCGCCTCGCCGCGCCGGCCCACGCCCGCTCCTGCCCGGCCGGCTGTGGGGCTGCGGGGGCCGCGTCCCAGAGGCAGCGGCCACCCCCGGGGCCCGGGGCCGCGCGGCCGGCGCCCGCCCCGTGCCGCCGCCGCCGCCGGGCCGAGCGCCCGGCTTGGCTCCGCCGCGCCCCGGCCGCGGCGCCTGGCCCGGGTTGCGCGCCGCTGGGGCGCGGGCGGGTCGGGCTTGTGGGGCGGCCGCTGCTCGCCTGGCGCGCGTCGGCGTCCCGGGCCCGGCGGCCGGCGAGCATGGAGGAGAAGTACCTGCCGGAGCTGATGGCGGAGAAGGACTCCCTGGACCCCTCCTTCACGCACGCTCTGCGGCTGGTGAACCAAGGTGGGAGCGCACGCCGGCCGGCCGTTAACTGTCGCCAGCGGCCGTCGGGGCCGGGGGACAGGGAGGGTGGGCAGCGGATGGAAGTGCGGGGCGCGTGGGAGGCGGACCTGTGGGGTTGGCTGGAAGTGGACCTGGGGAGGCGGGCGGGGACGCAGGTAGCAATCTGGGGGCATTTGGGTGGGGACCGGGGAGAACGTGGGTACCGGGGGTGGGGGGTGGGAGGAGATACGCCTGTGGGAGGCTTGGCGGGGGGGGGGCAGAAGGCTGGATGTGACTTGAAGAGCTCTGGGGACTCGAGGATACCCGAGGGAAACTTGTGGGTGGGGGACGGCGAACATCTGCGGGATTTGGCGGGGCGGGGGTTGAATGAGCTCATTGGAGGGGCGTTTGTGAGGGACTCAGGGATCCTAGTGTGTGCGGTTTGTCCAGGGAACTGGAGAAAGAGCTGGAGCAAAATGGAAGGATCTGAGGAGATGAAGTGCACACGAGGTGAAGGGAACAGGTGCTTGCGCTGTTAGTAAAGTTTGAGGACCTTGGGGGAGGTTTGGGGTCAGACGCTGAGCATTTCAGAGGAGAGGGGCCCGGCGGTCCTAGTGGCAGAGCCCAGTTCCTCTTCTTTCCCTCCTGTTCTTCCATGCCGCGGCTGTAGCCACTCTTGTAGGGTGGTATGCCCTCCCTGGAGGGCTTGGTGGGGGAGAAGAGGCCCACGCAGTTGCGCCGTTCTTGGCTTGCCTGTCTCCTCTTTGGGAAGCTCTGGGTGGGTCACGGTCACTGGGGGCTGGCTAGGGGTTGGGAAGACTGGGCAAGGAGTCTTTGCTGCCTGTCCCTTTCAGCGCTGCTGCAGCCAGTTCCGGGTGTGAACAGTCCTGGGAAGTACGGGGCACCGGGATACAGGGACACATGGAGGCGTGCCTACCTAGGACGGTATTTCCTGGCTTGTTCTTCCTCCAGCTTCTTGAGTAATCTGGGATGGATGGTAAATCAAGCCTGCCTTCCCAGGAGCAGTCCTCAGCTCCTTCTGTATCTGTTAATGCGTGTTTCAGATAAAGATGGGTTTGGGGGGCCACTGGTCTGCTTTTTCTCTGGGTGATGGCCGAAACATTATCTGGTCAGATCTGTTACCTTTTGCATGAATCACTCCGTGCAGTGACAGTTTGTGGTCCCCGAGTTAAATCGGGTCTGCTGATCTTAATGCTGGCCCTGGCTCTTTTATTGTTGCAAGTGAAGGATGAGGCAGACATATTCTATTTGTATATAGATGTCTATATTTTAAAATAGCAACCTCCAGCATTTGCTTGTTTCAACCAGTTCTTCAGAGTAGGGTGTTGTCGACTGATGGTGGTAGTGGAGAGACTCAGTATCTCCAAGAATTTAAGCATGAATGCTGTTTGAACGGTAGAACAGAAGTCGGTTTACAGAGCTTTCCCATTTTAATTGCAACCTTGTTTTTATTTCTTTAATAAAGTGGGCTTGTGAAAAAGCAATGGGCTTACATTCTTAAATTAGAGAAAAAGAATTTTCAGCTTTATTCCCATGCTCTTCTGAACTGTTCTGCAGTTAGGCTTGTACTCCTTGCTCTTTATGATTTACATATATCTTTTGTTGCCTGCTGGGCTGTCATTTCTGTGAAAGAAATTTCTTTGTACATTGTGTGAGATCAGTGGCAGTAGAAATATCCTAGATTGTGGAATCAAGTGCATTTTTTTTTAATAAAGCTGACAAAGTTATGTTGTACTCAGTTAAGGAAACAGATTAACTAAAAGTGTAAGAGTTATCTTATTTTGAAAGTTATTTTTTTTTTTCTCTGTGCCATGTTACAGTACCGTGTTGCTAATACATTCAGAATTCTCTCGGTTTCTGTTTCTACTGGTGTTAATGGCCTCTAGTTACTTGAAACAGATATTGGACAATATTGCCATTTAGTATTTTTTTTTAGATGTTAAATCTGATTACCTCACTTTCCCATAAAAAGTGTAATTTGGGTAAGAAGTACATTTTTCACATTGAACAATTATGTGAAAGAAGGAAAGGGTGCTACTGAGGTGCTCTTATTACTGTTAATTTAGATTACTTCAGACAGACATGTTTCCCTGATATCCAGAAAGCCAAGCCCTATCATTTAAAATATTAATCATGCTCATTTATGTAACTCCAGAATTACAAGTGCATTTCTAAAATAGTATCTTAAATCTGAATTTTAATGGTTATTAGAAAACTTTGATTTTGAATCTGACAAGTGTCTTGTTATTGGCTACAGAAAAGTATTTTTATTCTTATTTAGCTACGTTTTTGACTCTTTGCCTCGAAAAAAAACTATTTTTTTCAGAGTTTATTCTGAATTTCAATACTGGGGTTAGTGTTCCGACAGTAACTCACTCGTGCAGTGACAGTGGTCAGCAGTGAACGCGATACCTCATGTTTGTGTGGAGTGTGTTCAAGTTTCCAAGGCTCTTAACGGTACAGGATGTCCAGTTTCTGTCTCACTCTTGCGCTCTTGTGAGGTCGACACTGATGTCTCCATTTTTCTAGGGAGGCAGCTGAGGAACCCAGTTATGCAAGCTTGTGGGCAGCTGAGATGTAATTTGAACTCAGGTCTTCGGTCTCCTAAAGCCACTTGAGCCTTCCCGCAAAGATAGAATAAAATACTTCGCACATGCTAATTTAAAACCCTTCAGGAATCAGTATCATTAATACGCTTGTTTCTGGTTGACTTACCTTGATTTTCTAAAAAAGTGTCTTTCTGTTCTTATCTAGTGGTCTTTTTGAAGAAATAAACATTGGTAGCAGATTTATCCTACAGGATTTTAATGCTCCGGCCAAGAGGCATTTTTGAATTAAAGCCCTCCTGTGACCAGTTTATTACTTTCATAATCAACACATCACGATAATGAAACAGTTTATAAATGAGGTGTTGCCGTTTTTTAAAAATTCAGTAGTTGTAAACGTTGATCAGCCTCCTAGCTGAATTATTTTTTTTCTAATAATCTTTGGTAAGAACTTGAGCTGGGATGACATCAAGATATATGCTCCTGTGCTCATATAGTTCGGCTTTTATACTTTTCCCAGGCTTGTGTTTCTTTTTTTTTTTTAAAGATTTTATTTATTTATTTGAGACAGAGAGAATGAGAGACAGAGAGCATGAGAGGGAGGAGGGTCAGAGGGAGAAGCAGACCCCCCGCCGAGCAGGGAGCCCGATACGAGACTCGATCCCGGGACTCCAGGATCATGACCTGAGCCGAAGGCAGTCGCTTAACCAACTGAGCCACCCAGGCGCCCAGGCTTGTGTTTCATGATGGGCATTAGTTGCTGACTTTTTATTTTCTCAGGCTGACTGGCTCCCCTCCCCCCTAAATACTGAGTACTTTTGTTTCTCTACCAAATGTAACGGTTAATGTTTACTTAATGTTCAACCTGAATCCAAGAAAATAGGCTTTGGTATCACCCCCTTCCCTCACTTCCATGCCTGTAGAGAATTGACGTTGCCATTTCTTGCCAAGGAGGTTTAATTGGAGATGAAAGTAGCGTCCCATGTTTTGTATTATATTTGCTAGTAGGGGATGCGCTGACTCTCATGAAAAACATCTTTAGAAATGTCTTATGCATTATAATTTAATCCAGCTCTCTGCTACTGCTTTGGATGGTTTTCAATCCAAGCCAAGTAACCATTAAATAAGATTACATAACCCTGTATTTTTAATTATCTGATATAATATATGGATTGGTGACTGGTTCACTGCCAAGGTATATTTAGTGGTTGGTTACAAGAGGAAGTGGAGCAAAGGATTCAAGGTTAACGTGGTCTTTTTGTGTCCAGATTGATAAAGTTCTCTGATGGTATTTCAGAATAATAATTTTTCATCTTACATCAGTTTCTCTAATATCAGTACTCCTAGCATTATTTAGGATATATGTGAGGGGTAAAAATGTATAAAGGGAGGATCATTACTTGGCCCGATGTGCCGTGTCTCTTTTTCAACAAAACCTGATGGCTTAACATTTCATTTTTGGTGACCCCCTTTTGGAAAATGTTTGTGATTTGCTTGACTGTTGTCAGACATGTGGAGTAAGAGAGACGAATGAGAATGGAAATTACAGAATTATATTTAGATGTAGAGTGTGATCCTCTGTTTCATCCAAAGAAGGCTGTGGTTTTTTAGTTTTCAATTGTTTTCCTTAGGGTTTTCCGAATTTTTGATGGTTTTCTGTAAGAAAATGGATGGGATGCCCTTTCTGAGTTCCTGTAGCGTGCTGTGATTCCAGGTGATCCAGTGATTGTGAGTCACAGTGTTTTGGTATCTGGTCATTACTGACATGTTGCTTGAGAAGCTGCCGTGCCAGGCCCTGGGGCTGAGTCCTGGAGGTGGCCAGGGAAGAACGCAGACTCCGCTCCTGAGAAATGAGTGTTCTCACATGTGTGAATTTGAGAGTGAGTGTCAAGTTTGTAGATGCCCTCTTCTTTCCTAAGGAAGGTCCTCGACTATCCTTCAACTGTCCTTTTGAAGTGCTGAGTGACTAGATGGTTTAACTTGGTCAGCCTAGGGACATTTTTGAGGTTCTTCTCTGTGCTGAGTCATGTCTGTAATCTGAATACTGTAACAGCCCAGAAATGTAGAGGTTATTAGCCCAATTTTTCAGTTGTAGAAACTGAGACTCCAACAACTAAAGTGACTTACCCAGGGTGACTTACTTGCAAAATCTCCCAGTGAGGGTGCAAGCTTTGTTCTTCTTTCCTGAACCACACTGGCCTGCAGAGGGAGAAGGTCCAGCTGGGCTGGCAGTTCATGGCTGGGCTGCACTTGAAAGGCAAGTTATATGGCATCCCTTTTTATACCTCACCCTTGGAATTTCTGCTCTAAGGGATCTCCTGTGATCACTTCCTTCCCCCCAAATGGACTTAGATGGCCCATTTTTTCCCAAAGCAGCCGGTGCTTACTTCTCTGATGGTGTGGTTGTCCTTACACTACGTTATTTGGACCTCAGTCTTCCATGGGAGAATGTCA